AAGGGCTTTGAATAAAATAGTTGACTACATAATTATAGACGTTAAAAACCTTTTAGTTTAGTTTAATGATGATCATGAGAAGGGCTTTGAATACAATAGTTGACTTTTAATCTAATGGGAGATTTACTGGAAAATGTCTCTATCTGTTATCTAGTATTGGACCCATTATTAATATGCAATATATGTGGGGTACTAAATCCCAAGAAAAATCAGGATTTTCTGGATATAACACATTTAACCAGAAAAATAATTGTAGTGGGATAGACCAGCATGGATTAGCCTGGTCGTTTCTAAAAAGACCAATGTAAAACAGACCCTCATGTTTTAGTCTAAATCAAATCTAATATGACTACAATATGGTTTCACTAATCAATTCGTGGTTAACCATCGAGAAAACAATAATGTTTGGTTCAACTCGGTAGTTTTAATACCCGGTATTTTATTAAAAGAAAACAACAGAACCCAATTTAGTCGATACCGATGATTTCACTACATGTACATGTACATAATGAAATTCAGATCCAAATTTTGTTTCAAGACATATAGAACCGGTTTAGTCCAACCGGATTGGAAGATTGTTGGCCAACAACAAAATCTTGAAGAACTAAAAAAACTAACAAGTTTTTGGACCATACGTCACTCTTTAGCATGTGAAAACTTAACCGACTTAAAGTTAAGCCGTTAACATTAACGACCCTACTTGCACTATGAAGACAGCAAGTGGCAAACTAACTCGGTTAACGACTTTCCGCTATATATATAGTTCCTTTTTATTCATGATAATTCAAAATTTGTATATCGCAACCTAAAATCTAAAATGGTAACTACATTGGTTCATTAACTGAACACTTAAATTTAGTCTACTGCATCAACTATACTAGTACATTTTGTACGTGTATTTAACAAACAAATCATTTATGAACAAATTTATAGGTGTTAGGCTTTGAGTACACGTTTTGATGAACCAAACTATAAAATGAACAAGTTTTTAATGGACATAATACCAAAAATATAAATTTCTAGTATCATATTGTAAAAGTGGTAGATCCAAAAAAAACAATCGAAAAAGGTTAGAATTAGTAAAAAACATTTCTTTTAATCCAAAATCTCTCACGTTATGGTATGGTTACTAGTAGGAGTATTAAGTAATAACGTTAACTCAAATTAGCACCAAACAAAAAAATCAACAAGGAATCATGAAAGATACATTCGAACGGGCTCAAATCGACGCAAAAACAAAAAGGTTTTAAATGATTTATTAAAACAAACTTGGCATTCTTTTCTAGCGAGCGAAAATAAAAGTTTGGTCAAATTATTAGAATTAAGCTCAATATTCGTGTACGAATGTGCTTTATTTATGAACCATGATTTTTTCCCAAAGGACTAATGACACTTTTTTTTTTTTAAATTAACTAATGTACACTTGGTAACTTTATTCACAGATATTTCATTTTTTTGTTCTTTATTTCGTTCTTATTATAGAAACACAGCCTTTATCCTATTTCTATGTATACTTGTGTTCTAAAAATCAGCCACATAGCGGCCAATATAATATGGATGGTTAGATTTTGGCTAGTCGTTCAACGGAAAATCAAGTTTGAAAGGCTTAGACACTTGATTAGAATAATATTAAAGTTGAAAGTACATTATTAATGTATACTCCCTCCTTTCCTAAAAGA